GAACTTTTAAAGTTTGGCAGAGGAAAAGTCTCAAACGTCTCCCCCCGATCCGACATCTCAAACAGGGAGTGGGTAGTGAATAATCCCCGCTGTATTTTAGGGAATGACAAGCGCTGGCAGTGGAAGTGCAAATTAACTAAAATTCATTTGAAACGCCTGTTGTCTTAGATCACATCATTCCTGCATCCGTCAGACTTCCTGTGTTCTTTGCGGAAATTGCTCAGCCCTTGTTTTGACTCCACTTTCTCGTCTTGCAGTGATTTCATTGCGAATAATTTGCTTTTAACACGTTCTTCATTAGTTGCCTGTCGCTGTTATGTATGAACATAAGGAGAGCTACAATCAAATAAAAGCAGCTCTGCTTTGTTGAGATAAGAAAGCTCTTTCCTTTAAAAGAAGGAATCTTTAAACTTTAATGCCCGTTTGTGTTTAAGCATGTTGGTTAATGTCTCCTCCGTCTGATCTCTTTGAGAGGAAGCAGACTTGTCTTTTACTCGAGTGATGAGCTTTTGACATCAATTTGTGTTTGTTAGACTGCAGCAAGGCATCCTCCCCAAAAGATCAATACGTCGACTCATCTCTCTTAGGCTCTGTGCCTTTACAAGCTGTACAGACAGATAAAGTGTAAAAGAAAGAGGAAGACTGAGACTGAAGAGACACGGGGAGAAGCTGGAGGGAGAATCAAACAGCCAAAGCGGCAGAGTAAATCTGGAATTGGTTTTATTGTTGGAGCATGACTTTCATGATGTTAGCTGCTTGGCCTGCGTGATTTTTTTTCTCAGTTCAAGGTTACCAGACTCTCTGAAAATAGTCTTATTGTAGAACATGAAGTGAGGAGTTCACTGACAGGACATTCAGTGTAATTTACGTTTTCCCAGTCTGTAATAAAAGCAATCAGGTGAAACGATGAAAAAAGCTTCGGTTTCTGCCCTTGTTATTTTCTATATTCAATGCTTTTGTCCAACTATTTCTCTTTAAGTCCTTTATTGTTACAGCAGACGGGACACCCCTCTTAAATCCAAATGAAATTCAATAAAATGCACAGATTTGAATATATCTGCAGCAGAATTACAGAGCGGAAAAACTCTTCTCAGAGGGCAATGAGACATGCCACACATTTATAATTTAAAACTACGACAATTTGAACAAAATATAACTTACAGTAAGAAAAATAGTGGGGTTCAAAGTGAAACTAATCCTCCTCTGAAAGCTAAAAATCACAAATTTTGGAAAGTTCCTGCAAAGTGTCCGGAGCCCAAAGACGCGACCCAGTGTGGGGATGAACGGAGGGAGTTATCGCCGTATTCATGTCCATGGTTATCACGGCGACACCTTATCCACTTTGTTGCCATATTGTGCGATTTTTCCGACTCCTTTAGTGACTTTTTTCTCCCAAAACAACTAGTGATAAAGCTAGTGACTATTTTTCTGTGTTGTTGGAGGCAACGAAGGCAGCCTGTCTGTCCTGAGCTCAGGTCTGTCCTGAGCGAGCAGCGAGAGCGGCCATTAGCCGCCAGTAGCTTCTCCCGCTTCACAGTAACGGCTATCGAACAGCGCTCACCAGTCGCCATGGCAACGCTCGCAACAACTGAGAGAAAGAGCGGGAAAGCGCAGTTTTAATTTTTATGTTTTATTAAAGAACAACATACAAGTATACAAAGAGCAGTAAACCATATAAAAGTTGTAACAAGGGTTATTACAACATCATACATATAAAACGAAGTTAGATAATACTAAAATGTTTTAATTTTATTGTTATCTATTGAGAATGAGAAACTGAAAGTGGTGAAATAGGTCAATTTTGAAATAGGTCAATTTTAAAAGTCACAAAGCAATTAATCTTTCTACAGAAGTTGTGAATATAAAAACAATTTAATAAAAAATATATATATTTTCTTCTTTTCTTGTTCTTGAATAATTGTGAAAACCAAAGACAATATTGTCCCAACATAAAACCAAATCTTTATAAATACTATTAATTATAAACCAACAGACATTTCGGTTAATAGCAAAGCAAAGCCAAAGAGAGTCACATCGTGAACATTTTACGTTAATATCCTTTTTGAGTTTAACAGGTTGTGATTAGCTGGATAGTATTTATGCATAATTTTCTGCGTGTTATTGTTTACAACTGGAAATTTTTGCACATGTGTTAGATTAGCCACATGTGCTAATCTACCACATGTGCTAACAGAACACTTATTAATAATTGCAAAACATTATCAATAATATTCTGCGATATAGAATCTGGTTAACAAAAATTCACCTCATTTTCCAACTTTTTTTTGGACTAAAACCTTAAAACTCTGATGTGATGTTTTTCCCGAGACAAAATCTCCGATTTCTGAGGTAAACTGAATGCACCATTACACCCCGATTCTCCAAACTGAAATTGCTCAGAGGATCAAAACTACTCCAAACGAGGCAACATGGAAAACAAAACAAAAAAAGTGAAATGAACGATCCTTTTCAGGACAGGCTCTGGTGGAAGGAGCCGCACAATCAATCAAAGCCGACCCAACAAAGTGTCTAATAAATCAGTTTGTGACCAAAACAGAAATGTTCTTAGCAATCTGCATTTATACTGTCAGGCAGAGCCAGATTTAGCTCTGAAAACAATTTCAACCCGTACTCAGAGCAACTTGGAGGGCTTCATTTGTCTGAGTAGTTGAGATTCGCTCATGACGGTGATGGACAGATCAATTCTTCCAAGCGTGCCCGGCCTCCTCCAAACGCTTTTACCAAGGATTTCTCAGAGCACCGCTATCTTCTTGGTCAGCTTGAATGTAGTGAACAAGTGCTTGCTGTCGATCCATGCATGACACATTGCTGTTAAAGATTCGTTCAGTTTTTTATTTTTGTTACCCTTTGATATCAAGCAAAGAGAATCTTTAGTGTAAAGATTTAATTTGTCACAAAAAAGTGGCTTTTCAAACAAACCTGTGAAAAACTCAGACGTATTTGCGTTAACTGGCGATGAGTGTCTGAATCAGTGTTAACATTTCAAAATAAAACAAGATAAAACAAAAAAAATCTAGTGTTATTCTAGTTCTTTTTACAAGCTAAATTAGAAAAACAACTATTACAAAATTAAAAATGGTGTGTTTTTAAAAAATTATGATCATCAGCCTGAAAAGGTTTGAGAAACACTGCCATGAATTTATCCCAACCTGTTCCTATAAGCGTCATAGGTCACTTTTAAAGCACATCTGTGGATAAATCAAACAGAATATAAATTACAGGAACATGAACCGTTTTTCCTTGATATTTGGGGAACTACCTACGATATTTTACATTACAAGAAACCATAAAAGGAAAGAACACGGCCACTTCGGTGTTTCCCTTTTCAGGCATGGATCGAGTTTAACTAGAATATTTCTTTGTCCAGGTTCAGTTATTTTTAAGCAGCAGAGCTAATAAACTATCCGTGCCATGTACTCCACCCTGTCAGGACAAGTGAAATGCAGTATGTTGTTAACATCTTTTTGCTGCCACACAAGGGAGCTGCAACGAAATGACAACAGAAAAAAATAAAATCAGCATTTAATAAAAAGAATCATTTCATTTTTATTTCTTTGGGCTACAAGAGTCATCGTGAGTCACTTGTGAGGAGAAAGTGGAAACAAGACAGAACTCTGGTTGGCTCGACTGAACGCTTGTAGAGTGCAGAGTTACGCTGCTGGCTGATGATTGTGGAGCGTTTATGAACTGTGTTGCTACATAAAACTGTACAATGTCAAATGTGGCTTGCGTGTAACCCACCTTCATGTCCTCTGGAGGCATTGCGGCCTGTTTTTCTCCCACTAAGCCTTCTGGAATCGAGTCTGGTTTCCCACCATTTCCTCTCCACGTGTTTTGCATCACTGAATGAGCGGCGAAACGGGCGGCAGATAACCGCTCATACCTGCAGGGAACAGGACTGACTAAACAAGGGGTATTTTTGGGGGCTTTTATTGTGAAATCTGATCTACCATCTAGAACAAGAGGCAGTACTTACAGAAAAAGGGGGAATTAAGGTGAAGAACATAACTGTTTCCAGTTCCAATGATGAGTCATTCGAAAACACATTTGAAAGGCGTTTTATTTTGAAGGACGTTGACAAAAGCTATCGACTAGTCCTTTCTTTTTTCTTTTTTGCCATGCTGAGGCGTCTGAAAGCCTGTGGCAGTGGAGGAATAAACTAAAACTGCAGGAGAATCATTTGGAGTTGGCGTTAGATTGAAATAGAAATGGGATTTCAGGTAATGTGGCTGAAAATACTGCAGCTTCACGCTCGGCTGTGGTTCAAAACTGTTGATCCACTCTTCTCTCCATAACTTTTTCCCCCCTCCCACCATTTAATTTCTCAGCAGAGAGGATCAAAGTGTTCCTGAAACAGTTGCAACATCCACCACCAGTTTTTTTCCCCCCAGTGAAATCTTGTAATTGGAAACAGATATCGGAGTTACAACATGCTGAGTGGATTCAATCGAACTCTTCACTTTAACGCCTTTTACATCCATTACACCGGTTGTTTGAACACAAGGGTTAAATATACTGCAGATCTTCTATAAGTCTGTTGTTGAGAGCGTCATCTGTTGGGGCAGAGCCAGGGACCTGAGGAGGCTCAACAGCCTGATAAAAGAAGGCTAGTTCTGTTCTGGTCCTGTTCTGGGGATGACTGTGGAACCTCTGGAGATTATTATGCAAAGAAAGATTGTTAATAAAGTAAAGAAAATTATGGACAACCCTGACCATCCTCTTCACAAGACTGTCTTTGGAAGGTAGATCATCTTCAGTCAGAGGCTTCCTCAGATTTAGTGCAGTACAAACTGCTACAGGAGATCTTTCTTGCCAACAGTCATCACTTTCTACAATAACTCTTTGAAAAATCTTAATTATTGAGTTACAACAACACTTAATTTCTTTTGGGGTTAATAAAGTATTTTTGAATTTGAATTTTATAAAGATATTCGCCCTTTCCACGTGACGTCACGCACCCCAGAACCCCGCCCCCTGCGCCGTGACGGACGTAACAACCAATGCGCCCCTCTATAGCTAATCTAAAAACAGACATCTGTAGCCTAATGTCGCTTTTATTTTGTTGATTTCACTTAAAAAATGGTCATAGGTGCTGCGCGGTCGGCTGCACAAACAGACAAGCATGCAAACCAAACTTGTCATTTTATAACTTTTAATGAGGAAAGAAAGATCCTCAGCGATGGACAGCAGCCCTAAATATTAATGACTGGCTGCCCTCGGTGTAACCACGGATTCGCTTTTTACAAGGTAAGAAGATTAACGTTCATAGACTTTATAAATAAATTTATATTATCAGAAAAGATATCAAATATCGTATTATGAAGAAGGTACGTGTCTAATCATTAGTTACCATGGAGACAGTGCTGCGCCGTCATGTAGCCTAGCATGTACGGAAATAACTGGTTAGCATCTCGTCTTTTGTACGTTTTTAATGTTGCTCCGATGTAAAAGGAAACGCTGTTTATGACACAGTGACATAAATCATGTGGTGTGAATTCAGGTACAGACGGTAATTTGATGAACACGTCAGGAGGGAGGAGGTATGGGTCGGCTTCTAAGCTAGCTATTTCCAACTGTTGTAAATACCACCGTCTATGAACCCAACCAGGTGTGTTGCGTTCACAGACAAATTAGCTCTACTCCAACAAGTAGAAGCCATGAATAAACTGGCAAAAAACCTTGGGAAAGCAATTTCAGTCGCTTTGTTAAATACTGTCGTCCCTCACTTCCGACGTCCATCATGGCGCTTGGAATGATTAAGTGACATATTAGAAAGCATCAGTAGTGGAGTGATAGTGTCCAAATCAGGACGGAGTGTCACTAGTGGGTGTTCTTTGCTCAAAACAATGGTATATATTACAAAAAAGAGCAGGAGTTTTCCTTTAAAAGTGTAGTTGTGGATCTCTGGTTCCTAATGCATAATAAGCAATCCCATGGCTGGATTACGCAGTACAAGTTGTGTAATTGTTGATCAACAACAAGAGGCCTTGGCAGGGTGGCAATTCTGGTAAAGTATGTGAAAATCCCCCACATGCGTAAATACAGACAACAAAATGTCCAAAAAGCAATTTAGTCACTGCAAAACCACAAAACATTTGCAAGTAATTTTGGTCTAGTTTCTAGTGCCAATATCTCAGTTCAGTTGAAGTAAAACACAACAAAAACAAGTAACTTTTTTAGAAAGATGTAGAAGCTTATTTTAAGTTAATTATCCCTTAATATTGATGAAAAAGTCACTTGCAACACTAGCAGATAATTTTATTTATATTAAGACATTTTCCCATGATATAAGTGAAATAATCTGCCAATGAAACTAATCATTTTTCATCAATAGTAAGAAATTATTTACTCTAAATAAGCTCCCATATCTTGCTGAAAAGTTACTTATGGCATAGTTTTGTCTTATTTTAAGTGTACTAAGATGTTTCTACTAGAAACTAGATCAAAATTATTTGGTAAGATTTTTTGTTTTTTGCAGTATTGTACTTCTGTCTCTTGTAATTTTAGGTAAATTTAGTTTTTTGTTTGTTTTTTTATGTTAAATGCAAAATGTTTATTTTGGCTTGAGTACTGCTGTGAGTATGTTGTTTTTTCAGCATGATTTAGAGTAATCAATTACTAGATTAGTTGACTATTATGTCTATGTTTGTGTGTAGCTTAGCAAAGCGACAAAAAAACAATATGAGTGGCTTTGAGTTGTTCTTCAATGGGTTTTTGTGTGTTGTTTTTGCTTTTTCTGCGGCGTACTGCAGTGAATTAATAATACGTACATCTCCAGGTTTAATTTTGTAAATAAAATTGTTCCACTGTGGCGGCGCTGCTATGGATTGCATGTAAAAGGAATAACATGCAACATTTCTTTACTGGACGCATTCCTGAGGAAAATATGCATGTTTACTGAACTTGGTTAGGACCTGTTTCTTTTCAGGGGATCAGCAGCTTTATTTAAATTTTAAGAGAAAGACAATCAGATGTCTTTGGTAGATTATAGTTTTTAGCACTCACCTCCATTTTTTCCAGCTTCTCTTCTCCCCATTTCCTCTATTTGTTTTGTGAAAAAAAAGTCAAGAGTGTCCCTGTTGATCAGATAGCCCTATAACTAATGAAAAGCGTCACTGAAGTGACAGCAAGATTAATGAAGTATCTTGGGCTGCGCTTGCATGCGGTGCACCAGGGTTTTTCCTGCTGAGTTGCTGTCGCGGGCTAACTGCTATTTATGGTGACAAATAATGCCCCATTCTGCCACCAACACCTGGAGTCAAGGTTAAAAAACACATTCCCCTCGACAGGATGAAGGAACGTGGACGAAGGGTGGAAGATGGAAGTTAGCGAGCAGAGACAAGGACAGGTGGCTTTTCTGATGCACATTAAACTTATTTTCTGAAACTGGGCGCAGTGGGAGGGCGCCAGGAGAGACGGTGGGCAGCGGACAGGAAGAATGGCAACGAAGGATTAATTGAAAACATCTTGGAAATACAAAGTAGTCTCAGCAGAGGACCCTAAAGGAGATGATATCAGAGAGGAGTGAAAAACAGCTTTTAGTCGTCATTATTTGCATGTTTTTATTTCACCTAAGTGCATGCAGCTGGCAGTGATGCTGCATGACTGAACATAACGATGTGTGTGAATGTGTGTGTGGAGCTCAGACCCACATCACTTTGATTAAGACGGTATCTTATTTGTAGTCGATACCGGCGGCCAAAGCTCGGGAGCGGTCAATTTCATCTGACCTTCAGCAGCACCGTTACAGTCAGACTGTGTGTGTGTGTGTGTGTGTGAGAGAGAGAGAGAGAGAGAGTGGGGACAAAACATCCAGACAGACAGACGTTAAGCATGTGTGGGAATATGGGACCACAAAACACACTTGACTCAATGACAGACATAAACACACACTGACGTTCTTCTGTTGTCAGGCTGCAAAAACTCAACAGGTGCAACAAAAATCACACAAACAAAAGTACGGAGCCCCCTAGGGGACATGGAGGATGTTTTTTTTTCACAATAGGTTTTGCGTTCTCTTGCCACAATGTACTGATTGGTTTACGCGGCATAACCGAAAGTCTTTCTTATGATGGCCGCTGTAATTTCTGCTATAAAATAAGGCTTTTTTAAGATTCCAATGTATATTAATATCTTGATATCTGAAGTTTTATATCTTTTTCTTTGGATAGAAATGCACAACAAACCTATGTGCAAAATACAAAAGGAAAACAGGCTAAACATGGGCTTTACATTCCTTCTAACATAGAAACAGAAACTTTATGTAAGAAAAAATACATCCGAAGTACTTGTACTATTTCTGAGTTATTATTACGGGGTAATAAAGTCATCTGACAGTTTGATTGTGTCTCTTTAGTGTTGGTAGTCTGTATGGTTACTAAAGGGGCGTTTTCATGTGCAGGTCCATCTCAGCAAAACAGACATAAACATGGAAAATAAATCGATTTTCAATCAGTTTTTGCACCAAAGAGTTAAAAATGTATAAACATGTTTTCACTGATTTAATTTTAAACTAACATTTGTGACTGTATGCAAAATAGATCAGGATGTGTTTGCTAATTTATTGCCAGGTAACACAAAAGAATAAAAGCATCTCTATGTCCTCTAGGTGGTGCCGTACAAAAGTTTTTTCTTTTTTTTACTGCAGCTAACAAAAAGAACAAACTAAGAAAAACTGCCCAAACAAAAATCCAGAAAGCCTGGGAAATAGGCAGTTTTCAAATATTGCTTAAATCTGACTGCCTGGAGTTTTAAGTTTGTACTTGAACTCTGCTTGGGTTGCTAGGTAACTAGCTTACCAAGTAATTTTGAGGTAGTTTCTAGTGCAAATATCTTAGTAATCTTGAAATAAGGCAAAACTAACTTGCTAGTTAGTTTTGCCTAACTAGCAATTTCCATATATTTTGCTTCCCAGCAAAATATATGAGCTTGTTTTAAGTACATAATTTCTTAATATTGCTGAAAAATATGTTTCATTGGCAGATTATTTCACTTCTAGCAAAACATTTTTCCCATCAAGTGAAATAATCAATCTGCCAACAGAACAAAAACATTTTACATTAAGGAAGCATTGCCTTATAAAAAGCTCTTGTATCTTGCTGAAAATTTACTTTTAAGTTAGTTTTATCTTATTTCAAGTGTAGTAAGCATTAATAACATTTGGCCTAGAAAATAGACCAAAATTACTCTGTAAGATTTTATGTTTTTGCAGTGCAAAGATCAGGTCACTAAATCCACTTCTCCATCGTTAAATCTCATTGTAGCCCAAGCTGAAAAAACATTTTGTGGTTGACCTACCATGCAGAAAACACTCGCTACATTCTTGCTAGTTGTACAGGAGGCTCTACTAAGGCTTTTCAAAGATGTGCAGTTGTATAATTTTATTTTACTTTTACTTTACAGCTTTATGTTTTTGCAGTGTGGTAATCAGAATTTATGGATGTGGAAATTTTTGTAAAAACGGGAGAAGTTTGACAGGATGTTTGTGTTTTCTTTAACCTTTGAGAGCTGGTGTCGCGTAGCGTTGAGTGACGGATCTTTGATAATCACCGGTTCTCTTTGGGTTTGCATAAATTATGATTCAGTTTAAACTTTTCAGTGATGTGCGGTTTGAGTGTACCCACCAGAAACCTTCGCAGTCTGACTGATGTTGACACTGTTATTTATATGTATCTCTCTGTTACATAAGCATCTTTCTGTCGGCATGAATTTGCCCGCATGTTTGTTGTATAAATTTGTTTCGATGAACATGTCATCTGTGTTTGTATCTGCGCGTGTTTGTTTCTCAGAGCAGCCTGCTGTAGGTGTCTGTGGAGCTTTTTTCTCTGCAGATACGAGCGTGTGTAGTTGACGCACACGGCTTGTTTTGTGACTAAAGATGCTGCGAGCCTTTGTGTGTTTGTGAAGACTCGAGATAAAAGCGAGCAGCCGTGTCTCATAGCTGCAGTCTGATATTTGTGCCTGTTGAGTTTGATTACAGCCAGGCAAAAAGTGGGGGGGAAGCAAAAATCATGAAAAGAGAGTGACAAAGTGAAAGAAAAACAAGATAGATGGGAGTGAAATCCAACAACAAAAGGCATTCTGGGACTGAGAGGGTGAGCGTTCAAGAGAAAATAAAAGTGTGAGTGTCATCCACAAAGGGTGACAGAAGACAAAAAGGCTGATTAAATCAGTGCACTTACTGTGTTACTGTCACCCTAATCCTATAATCAGATTTCTCTAACATCAAGCTAATAATCAAGCTGGTA